GAAGGAAGGAAGGAAGGAAGGAAGGAAGGAAGGAAGGAAGGAAGGAAAATAATATTTGGGGCAGCTAACTGAACTCTCTCTCATAATTTGGACATTTTGAAAAGATGGGTGGGCACATTCGTGGATTGTAGGCTCCCATCAATGGCTTCTTGACCAAGGTATCTGTCTTTAGTTGCTGGAGATAAGCAATGGCTTCTGAGCTGTCCATAAGATGTAGGAGCCAATTTATTGATATGTGAGTTCTTTCGTAAAGCACTCTGTCAAGCTCAAAATTGACATATTAAAATTGCCATTTTAGTTAGGCTTAGGATATATTCTTTTTCTTACTTTCTATTTGGTGGTCATGGGGGAAGGGTTTCGGGATTGCCACATTCCTAAGAAGGAAGGTGTGGAGATAGGGAGAGTTGTTTAGGCTAGGTGATTCTTCTTCCCGTGGGAAAATGAGCTGACCGTCTGATATTATGGGGTAATTCCAGGTTGTGTTAGATCCGGAATTACCACGGACTTTGCCAATTTGATGCTTTCCTAAATAAAAGAAATTGCTTTGGAAGATGGGCTTTGCTCTTTTCTTTTTAAATGGATTTCATCGCTTGGAAACCTGACACACTCCTTACCTGCCTCATCAGGATTTGGGCACGCTGTTTGAACACGGAGGCACTGGAGACATCAAACCTCTGTTGGAGACCTTCCAGCTTCAGCTGGTCCATTTTCTCGTAGCAGGACTGCATCTTCACGGGATGGAAAGCTAGCTGAGAAAGTTTCTCCATGTACTGGGTGGGGGAGAAAAGAACTATTTAGAAGGTCCAACATCTCAGCAAACATAGACCTCAACATCTTTCTTGCTAAGGGCAATACGGTCTTTTTTTAAGGATTCCTCTACATAAATCCCTACATTTGAGACCTTCAAAAAATGCATTTGTCTTACCTCTCCCAGCTTCTCCATCCCTCCTTCATTGACAATATTCATGTTCATGTCAGTGACATCCTTGAAAAAGACTTCCCGAACTTCAGTAAAGCCCTGGCTGGTTGGAATCATCAGGGCTTCCAAGATGGAACTGATGTAGGGTTGGACATGATTCCGGACACAGACCTCAGCTTTGGAGAAGACGGAGGCTGGAGGAGAATAGTAGAAGGACAACTAAGACCCAAAATAATTTTTATTTAGAAAAGCTAACAAGCCCAATCCAGACAGCTCAAGAGAATTAAAATGGTGGTGGATCTCCATCCAGTAAAATAGATATGAGGAACCTGTAATTCTCCAGGTGTTTTTGAATATCTAACAATGCTCAAGACTTTCAAGAAGCCACTCCCAATGGACCTAGCCAGTTTGGGCAGTGATAGGCAACTTTGGGAGATGTAGTTCAACAACTTCTGGAGGACCCACAGGCCTGACTGTTCTGTGGTTCAATTCTTCCAAATATTCCACGAAGAGGAAAACATTTCAAGGTCGATCAGAAGTAAAAACAGAGCAGCGATAATGAGATTATGCGAACATTTTATCCTATGCATTTTCTGAAGGAAACAGATTTCTCCACCTCTTATCAGTAAGAGTTGGGTGGGACTGTGGAGGTCTTCTAGTCCAAACACCTTCTCATGCAGGAGATGTACACCTTTCCAGACAAATGGCTGTCTAGTCTCTTCTTCCAGTCTCCAGGGATGAAACACCCACAACTTCTGAAGGCAAGATGTTCCACTGCTATGATTGTCCTCACTGTTAGGAATTTCCTCCTTCATTCTAGGTTGCTTCTCTCCTTGATTAGTTTCCACCCATTGTTTCTTCTCTTGCCTACTGGTGCTTAAAAAAATAGCTTTATCTTCCTCATGAACGAAGGCGAATCTATGCGTCCCAGGATAATGTTGCAGGATCCAATCTAGGTTGATCACTGGGACCAGAGGCTTTTGTCTTCCAAGCTTTTGGACTCATGTTGGAGCCCATCCCCAGGGAACTCCTCTCTACCAGAATGTTACCTACCTCTCTTTTGTGGCAGCCCTTCAAGTATTGGAAGACTGCTATCACGTCTTCCCTTGGTCCTCCTTTTCACTAAACTAAAGGGAAAGATAAAGGTTCCCCTTGCACATGCGTGCTAGTCGTTTCTAGCTCTAGGGGGCGGTGCTCACTTCCATTTCTAAGCCGAAGAGCCAGCGCTGCCCGAAGACGCCTCCGTGGTCAGGTGGCTGGCATGACTAAACGCCTTTGAAGGCGCATGGAACGCTGTTACCTTCCCACCAAAGGGGTCTCTATTTTTCTACTTGTATTTTTAATGTGCTTTTGAACTGCTAGGTTGGCAGAAGCTGGGATAAGGAACGGGAGCTCGCTCCGTTAGGCGGCGCTAGGGATTTGAACCCCCAACTGCTGATCTTTCTGATCAGTGAGCCACCATCCCTAAACTAGATGTACCCAGTTCCTGCAACCGTTCTTCATATGTTTTAGTCTCCAGTCCCCTAATCAACTTTGTTGCTCTTCTCTGAACTCTTTCTAGAGTCCCTGCATCTTTTTTGTACTGGGGTGACATAATACTAGCACCCGGAATTATCCAAGAAAGTCAACTGGGTGTAGAGATTACACAGAAGAAAAATCCACATTTAGCTGTCAAAATTCAGTGCAATAACTGACCTCGGATTTTGTTGGCGAGATGTTCCTTGGATTGGATGATCTGATCCATATCTGTCCGGATAATGCTCTTCATTTCAGGGATCTGAAGCTCACATTTTGCTACTAAGGAATCATAATGGGCTGTCACCTGGTCGCACACCATCCGGTACACGGCGTCTGAGATCTACCAAAAAGGGAACAATTGAAGGTTGTAAAAAAAAAAAATTAGATCGGCCAACTCAAACAGAGAACTTTATGACTCTTTGTTTGGGAGGGAGGGCGATCTAAGCAAAGCACAATGGAGAATGCAATGAACAAACCAAAATGATGAAAGATCAGACAAAATAAATACAAATAAATGAAGGCTTGTTATAAACTGTACATTCCATGTTTATATTTATTTTATAGAAAGGCAGTTCTGTTCTTCAACCTGGAATAAGCCAAAGAGTTTATAAAAAGATTGGAAGGAAGGAAGGAAGGAAGGAAGGAAGGAAGGAAGGAAGGAAGGAAGGAAGGAAGGAAGGAAGGAAGGAAGGA